AGGGGGGGCGATTGTTCTCCTGATGTAACAAAAGAGAGAAAACAGTTTATTTAAAGCCCACTTGTTTAATTTTAGCAGAGCTAGTGAAAGGAAAATATTAATAATAATAATAATAATCGTAATAATAATGAGAGATATATGAAAATAAATGTATGTTTATTTGTATGAGAATATGTGACAGACAATATCTTTTTTAAATCTTTTAATCTGTGAGGTAATAATTTGAATTTAAAACTCTGAGCTACTCAAACAAATAATGAAAAATAAATTAATGAAGTAAAATTAAATCGCACTCTCTTGAGCTGCAGAATCTGTCAACGCGGAAGCTGACGCAGAGATCACGTTTGCACAAGCGGAAGCCTCTCATTCGAACAACCCGCGGATGACGTAAGCAATAACAGGAACGCATGCCGTTATTTACACTGCAGCCTATTACACATCCACTCACAAGCGAACTGTTTCTTCAAGTTTCACTTTAACAACACGGGCGTCAAGCTGCTGACGAGACGTGCGCGTACTTGAACGATTCTTCATTGTCTTCTCGGGACGTTTTTCTCTGGTAAGTCTGCCTGAAAGGTGTAGCCCCGTGGGCCAAAATCGTCTCATGACGCTGGAATGTTTGGGGATTTGTAATAGCGCTGTAATAGCATTTTAAAGGTGAACGCAGATGCGATCAATGCAAACAATACAGTGACCTAGATACTGGAAAGCTGGAGACCGCCATTAGCTATCAAATTTATACTTCATCGTGTGGGGAGTTGGGTGTGCTGTTTGTACCAGGGCTTTGATGACAACGTTACTGTTGAGTAGTCTCACGCGCAGATAGAAAAACAAAAGCCGTCGGTCTAGGTTCAGTACCTCACGTGGTCAAAATAGCCATCAGAGCTAGGTTCAAGCTAAGATCTAATAAAAACGTGGTATATTAGATCTTAGGTTCAAGAAAATCATAAAGTTTTAAAACCNGGGGGGGCGATTGTTCTCCTGATGTAACAAAAGAGAGAAAACAGTTTATTTAAAGCCCACTTGTTCAATTTCAGCAGAGCTAGTGAAAGGAAAATATTAATAATAATAATAATAATAATAATAATAATCGTAATAATAATGTGAGATATATGAAAATAAATGTATGTTTATTGTATGAGAATATGTGACAGACAATATCTTTTTTAAATCTTTTAATCTGTGAGGTAATAATTTGAATTTAAAACTCTGAGCTACTCAAACAAATAATGAAAAATAAATTAATGAAGTAAAATTAAATCGCACTCTCTTGAGCTGCAGAATCTGTCAACGCGGAAGCTGACGCAGAGATCACGTTTGCACAAGCGGAAGCCTCTCATTCGAACAACCCGCGGATGACGTAAGCAATAACAGGAACGCATGCCGTTCTTTTACACTGCAGCCTATTACACATCCACTCACAAGCGAACTGTTTCTTCAAGTTTCACTTTAACCACACGGGCGTCAAGCTGCTGACGAGACGTGCGCGTACTTGAACGATTCTTCATTGTCTTCTCGGGACGTCTTTCTCTGGTAAGTCTGCCTGAAAGGTGTAGCCCCGTGGGCCAAAATCGTCTCATGACGCTGGAATGTTTGGGGATTTGTAATAGCGCTGTAATAGCATTTTAAAGGTGAACGCAGATGCGATCAATGCAAACAATACAGTGACCTAGATACTGGAAAGCTGGAGACCGCCATTAGCTATCAAATTTATACTTCATCGTGTGGGGAGTTGGGTGTGCTGTTTGTACCAGGGCTTTGATGACAACGTTACTGTTGAGTAGTCTCACGCGCAGATAGAAAAACAAAAGCCGTCGGTCTAGGTTCAGTACCTCACGTGGTCAAAATAGCATGCCATCAGAGCTAGGTTCAAGCTAAGATCTAATAAAAACGTGGTATATTAGATCTTAGGTTTAAGAAAATCATAAAGTTTTAAAACCGATCAAACAAAAATCGGAGAACACGCAACTTATGCTCCACGTGCACAATGAAATACTGCCTCTTTGAAATGAATTCTTGACAATATGAATGAAAAAAAGGGAGAACAGTGAGTGGGTTTTTATGCAACTTTTGGTTTCGATTTCCGGTTTTTTGCTATTCTCAGCTGTGGAGCGCTAATGTGTTTTTATTGGGGATGGGCACAGGTGGGTCATCGTTTTTTCTGTCTTTCTTTTTTTCTTTCTTTTGGAGGGGATGGAAGTGGGCGCAAGTGTTCTTTTTTTCTAGCTGCATCAAATGAATTTTTTACCCTTGTCTTCCCTCTAACTATAGTTTTATATCATCCAGTGCAAGGATGTTTCTTGAGAGAGAGAGAGAGAGAGAGAGAGAGATTTGTGACTAGCCAGAATTTGAAATTTAAGAGCCCTATCCAGACCCAGTCTCTTTTATATACTTGTATTGGTATAAAAAGATGCGTCCAAAAATCCGCCCGCCGCATCCTGGCTGCGGTTAGGCCTATAGGGCCTATATATGTTTTGTGTGACATGTGGGGCAGCAATATGATACGAAACGCGTTAAGGATAAATTAAATGCCAGTCGTAATGTCAAGTGATAATTAAACCACGTGCCATGCTTGCGGTGAAGTGCAAAACATACTGGAATTGAAATAACAGATAAGATAAGTGACTCAAAACACGTATCTGAGATGTTCGGATATGATAGATTGATGTTATCGTAATCACACTATAGTAATGGAGCGGCTTCAGCACTTTATTACTAAATAAATAATATGTCAATATGACCCATGATGTACGAGTACCCGTCACAGGCAGATCACGTCAGTCGGTGGTAAAATAGACTTAGAGCACAAAAGGGAAGTTTGCACTGGGTTAAAAAGGATAAAAAGGATAGGCCCGAAGTCTATACCGTGCTACGGAGACGTCGGTTGGCTGTTGTTAGAATTAATGGTACAGGAGCAGTCGTCTGCCAGAGGTCAGGTATGATGATCGAATTCATTTGGGCGTGGACGAATGTAAGATTTCAAACTGTCTGTTGTAAGTCTGAGTTGTGTACGCATGAGCTTAACAGACACAGGGATGTTTTTTATCGAAAAGAAACGGACAAATATAGATATGGTAGACGAGGATAATTTTGCTATAATTCGAGTATGTAGGGCATGAGGGAAGAAACGTATTTCGTATTTTGCTCTCATGCTGTATGGTATGAAAAAAAAAATAAAGGGAAATAGTCGTCTGGTTTTTTTTCCCTCAAGTTCTTTTTCATAGATTGCGATGTACCAGTGTCAAACACGTACCGGTCTTGAATAGGGACAAGCGACGGGGGCAGGTGTGCCGGGAGGGGGGGGGGGGTGCCGAGAGTATAAGGTAAGAAATAACTCTGGCTTGAGCGTCACGTTTTAGCTGCGTTGCATCCGCTATTCTTGTTTTATTATGCTTGCTCATTTCATGTGACCGCTTATAAATGACGGAGGGCGAGATTCTTCGTTTCGCGTTCGAGATAGAGGAAGTGTGCGGACTAGCCCCAGGAGCGGACCAGCCCCGTCTTCCCCTACACAAAAAGGAGCCAGTTAATATATGATACGTTATGATTGAATGAATATATATATATGACCGTATTATAATAAAGAGTTTATACTTAGATGCAATATCGAACAAAAAGACAAATACATAACCATTGATTAATTAATTGACCATCACCAAAATCAAATCATCTCATTTTTGACCTATCCCGAAAAATTAAGTAGGCCTAATATTTTTTTATGAATTTTTTATCATCACAAAGATCTTTTCATTTGTTCTGTTGCGTATTTGTGACCTATCTTGAATTAATTTCATGCAAATATGTACATAATTAATTAATTGATTAATGAATTACTGGATCATCTTCCTTTGTCCATTTGTGAAATATCCTGAAAATTTCATCGAAATGCGGCCATAACTTTTACGTAATGCTGTGCACATACAGTGTGTAAAATAAATAGAATCAGAAGAATGAAGAATCAACCAACTCCCAGGGACAGCCCAAACCCCTGTTTNGCCTATATATGTTTTGTGTGACATGTGGGGCAGCAATATGATACGAAACGCGTTAAGGATAAATTAAATGCCAGTCGTAATGTCAAGCGATAATTAAACCACGTGCCATGCTTGCGGTGAAGTGCAAAACATACTGGAATTGAAATAACAGATAAGATAAGTGACTCAAAACACGTATCTGAGATGTTCGGATATGATAAATTGATGTTATCGTAATCACACTATAGTAATGGAGCGGCTTCAGCACTTTATTACTAAATAAATAAAATGTCAATATGACCCATGATGTACGAGTACCCGTCACAGGCAGATCACGTCAGTCGGTGGTAAAATAGACTTAGAGCACAAAAGGGAAGTTTGCACTGGGTTAAAAAGGATAAAAAGGATAGGCCCGAAGTCTACACCGTGCTACGGAGACGTCGGTTGGCTGTTGTTAGAATTAATGGTACAGGAGCACTCGTCTGCCAGAGGTCAGGTATGATGATCGAATTCATTTGGGCGTGGACGAATGTAAGATTTCAAACTGTCTGTTGTAAGTCTGAGTTGTGTATGCATGAGCTTAACAGACACAGGGATGTTTTTTATCGAAAAGAAATGGACAAATATAGATATGGTAGACGAGGATAATTTTGCTGCAATACGAGTATGTAGGGCATGAGGGAAGAAACGTATTTCGTATTTTGCTCTCATGCTGTATGGTTTCAAAAAATAAAGGGAAATAGTCGTCTGGGGTTTTTCTCTCAAGTTCTTTTTCATAGATTGCGATGTACCAGTGTCAAACACGTACCAGTCTTGAATAGGGACAAGCGTCGGGGGCAGGTGTGCCGGGAGGGGGGGGGGGGGGGGG